CCCCAAAACCCCAAAACCCCATTAAAAAAATTTTAACTTGTAATAAGGTTTATTAAATAATTTAGTAGAAAAATAAATGAACTTAGGATTAGGAAGACTGAAAACAAAAGAGTAATTTAAGTCTCTGAAATTGTAAATACCCAGCAACGAAGCAACTTAACCTAAGTCTGGCTATCTAATGTCTCCAGTAAGAAGAACAACCTAAAAAAATGGTGATAATATGCTTAATGCAATTCATGAGGAGGAGAGTGCTAGAAGTCGGAATTCACCGACTAAATACAATCCATAATCAAGTTAAAGGAGCAATGAATAATCAAATGAAGTCTAGTCTCCATATTAATAGTAGCGAGGAAGTAATATAAACATTAAATCCTTCATGTTAAAGCATATCATGACTATGTAACCTGTAAAAGATAGACTGAGATCAAGAATGTAACCACTTTAATCACCATTAAAATCACCACTCAAATCGCCGTCAAAAATTAGTATTAGAAATGACTCAAGTCGGGAATTAACTCCTATGAATTATAGAAAGAGTGCGTCTAATTTTGCAACATCCCCTTCTTTTTCCAGGCAACAGAAAATGTAGCGCGTTATGTCATAGGAAGTGCATGAAGAGGAAGATGATGATATTTTTGACCCGAAATCTCTGTATGATTGTCCTATGTTAGATTTCAACGAATACTAAAGTCCTTGGAAAACTCTTTTTCTTAGTCTAATTTCACCTCACGCCAATAAATATCAAGGATACATGATTAATAAATTAAAGGACATTAAAAAAAAGTCGTAAGTTAAAAAATCCACGTCAATTTTAAGAAAAGAATCATCTGGCAATACTAATTATCTGATTGGAAGTCCGCTCAAGTCTCTTAGCTTAACTCGACAAACTACACAACCATATAAAGATTAAGAAAAAGGGGCCCCAGAAAAGAAAGAATCAAATAATAATATTGATCCATCAGGTATTTAAAAATTTAGTCTTTAGATAAATCCAACAAAGAGAAGCTCAAGTATCATACTAAATAAATTTAAGAGCAGTGAAGCTAATAGTGCTGCTATAGACAAAGTGCGTAAGCTTCCTAGTTCTTCTATTAGTTAAAATACATTGAATTTTCAAAATCTTCAAAAACTCAATGAAAGATCTGGGTCTCTTAAAAGAATGGATAGTTTAGTTTCTAATGGTAATTAAAGCAAGAGAGGATCTAATAGATCTCATTTTTCAAGAAGAAGCTCAAGATACAGCAGCAAAGGTACAATGAATGAAAAGAAAATTAGAATGATGATTAAGAATGGGAAATTAATAGACAAGTTTTAAGCTAATTTAAGAAAAAGATCTGGTTTTAAAGTAATTGAAAATCCAATAATCAAGAGTGTTGCTCCAAAGAATCTAACAGAGTGGAAAAAGGAAATTTTTAACCATCAAATACTAAATGGAACTATGTCCAATAAAGCAACATTATATCTTTAACAGTAGTTAAGAACTCATAGAATAGATAGATCTCTTTAATTTTAAAACGGCTAGGTAGTAAATAGAGAAAAATACAAAGGCTTATTTCGATAAAAGAAGGATAATTTGTTCCAAGTACAGTCAAACAATCATCTTAGATTAGCCTTAGATAGCAAGAAGGATTTGACTAATTTACAGAAATTTGATATTATCACTGAACTTTGGGATATTATGGAGGAGCAGGAGTTAAAGAAAAAATTCGATTGATAGAAAAGCAGGGAAATCTAAAGATCAAAGAGTATGATAGGTCTAGATTTCATTGATTAATATCAAGGATAATACAATTTTCACTATACTAAATCAAAATGGAAAACATAGTTCAATGAAATGTTTGAGGCTAATCTAAAGCAAGTAGTTAGAAGAAAAAGTTGCTATTGTAGTCATTGCGGAGTTCCAAATTTAGCCTAGCAAAGAATTTTCAGAAAAGAATTATTGACTGAGCCATTATATCCATTCATCAAAAGTAAAGAAGAAATTTAGTATGAAAAGAGAGTAGCTCAACGTAGATAAAATTTGAGGGAAATTAAGAGAATGAGGCTTGAGCAGTTTAAGACTAATCTTAGACCATAACTACTTGGATCTTCAAAAGATTTTGATGCTGAAGCCGCAATTCTTAAACAAAAACAGTAAAGTCCTGGTGGGGTTGATGCTATAGAAGAGCCAGATAATAAACCCGTCGATTATTTAAAAGTCCAATCAAGTATAGATAAACTTAGAAAAAACTCATAACTAATTAGGAATGCCTCCTCTGTTGTAAGAGCTATTCAGGATAGTATCACTGTGACTAAAATTAGTATAAGTTCTTTTCAAAAAAGGTAGTCATAGATAAATGCTGATGCGAATCCAATATTTGCTACAGATGAGCAAAGTAATCAAAGCCAATCATAGATCTTATAATTGCCATAGACATAATAGTAAGGCTAGTAGATGTCCTTTTTAAGGCTTTAACCGACTAGAGTTGTTGAAAAAGCACCACCATTAATGTCACCTTTACTAAGAAAGCATAAGCCATCCTTAAGGACTAGCATGATCAAGAATATAGATCTTCAACAAATTTCAGAGGAATAAGATGAATGCTATTTACCATTATATAGATCTGTAAAGATAAAAGGATCAATGGAAAGAATTTGTTCTATTATTAGAAACCCAAAAACATTGGAGACATTAATCTAAAAATCTCAGACTATTAGGAATTTCAACATGCTGCAATAAAATGATGATGATCTTATAGCCAAAGTTTTTAAGTAACAATAGATATAAGAATAGAAGATTTAGGAAAAATAGAAGCAATATGACAAAGAATAAAAGCAAATCTAACTAAAAAATCTCTTATAAAATGGATTAAAGCATAGGCTTAGCAGGCAAATCAGCTAAACTATTTAAGATCTTAATGCAACAGATTCTGATATTTCTGAGAAATAAGATGATTCCGATACTTCATCTTCATCCTCCTCATCTTCTTCCTCGTCATCATCAACTTCTTCATCTAAAGTGACTACAATTAAAACTTAGAGTGATCTAGAGGAAGAAGAGTACAAATTTTCTGATAAGAATGAAGATAATGAAGATGAAGATCATTCATCTTCTCAAGGATCATCTCTTCATACATCGATAGGTTCAAAAGAATTGGATCCAGTATTCATCTAAGAAATGATAAGATAATAAAAAGAGAAATTAAAAAAAAGATAGCAGATAAAATAAAATAGGTAAAGAATGCTATAATACGCTATGAAAATAGATAAACGGCAATTGAAAAAGATAGATAAAATTCTTAAATAGGAGAAAAGTATTAAAATACTTAACAAATGCAACAGTGAAAATGTGTTATAGAGAGAAACTAATAAAGCACCATTGATAAAACTCAGCATCAGACCAATGACCAAGGTTTAAAGTCGAAATTTTAGCGTTGAGAATATAGCAATGCCATAGACAAGAAATTGTGAAACAGCTCAAGAAAAAATAAGAAAAATCTATATAAAAACACCTAATGAAATGACTTAAGCACCCCCATCTAGAATTATGGAAAAAAGGCATTAATCTCAATAAAGATAGAGATAGAAAATATAAATAGTTTACAACGATGAATTTGATTTGCAAAAAATCCACAACCTAAATAAAAAAGCTATTGATAACCTAAGAAAATCAATACATTCCCCAAATAATTTGGAATAAACAACAAGCAAATCTACAAAGCATTCATATGGAATTCTCAATTCTAAAGGTGGTATTACTCCTAGTATAAAGCACAGTTTTCTCACAAAAGGTTCTTTCACTAATGTACTTAGATCAAATTATAATCACTTGTTCTAAACTTAAACTTTTACATAGAGTAGAATTGCTTCAGTTAATCAATCTGGCGTTAATGTGTCTGTGAAATCTCCTTAATCTTAATCCATCATCCTAAATCAAAATAATAAGTCAAGGAATGTTGGATTTACTAAGAAAATGAAAACCACTTTTGATATATATTAAAAGACTTAGGCTGCTCTATAAAAAGCAACTAATAAGAAAAATCTGTGAAAACCAATTTTGCTAATCATTTCCAATTGAAGTCTACAATACCATAATATAGCTTAATTCGTTACTTTATCACTAAGATCATTTCATTCTATTGATTAATCTATAATAATAGAGTTAATGAAAATAATTCTTCCATGTAATTTAAATATCATCTATTCAACTAATAAGCAATATTTAATCCCCTCGGGGTTTTGGGGTTTTGGGGTTTTGGGGTTTTGGGG